GAGCAACTGACGTCATTTACCTGGATTTGTGCAAGGTGTTTGACACTGTCCCACATGACATCCTGGTCTCCAAACTGACAAGGCATGGATTTGGCAGATGGACCACTCAGTGGATAAGTCTGTGTCCTGTTTGCATTTGATTAGTACTAAATTATATTATTATTCTTTCCCAAGTTGAGTCTGTTTTGCCTGTGAGTGAACCCTCCTTGTCCTTGTCTCAACCCAAGAACCTCTTTTTGGCCTTTGTCCTCCCCACGATGATAAGGAAATGACTGAGAGTCACAGGGCTGCTCTCAGGTTTGTAAACACTTTGCTCTGTACACTGGTAAGAAAATGAATGGTGTGGATGTGTGCATGTGCTTTTTTTCTATATATATGACCTCCCTACCACAGCAACTCTGGCTTCTCTCTGCAGCTCTGATTCCCTCACTAGTAAGAGAGAGAGAGACCTCCCTGAGCCCCCTCACAATACCTCTTGTCTCTTCTTATATGGCTACAGATGAACTTTAAGAATGGAATGGAGCTGAATGGAACTGAATAGAATATTTCAACTGGAAGGAACCTACAATGATCATGTAGTCTGACTGCCTGACTGCTTCAGGGCTGACCAATATTTGAAGCATGTTATTAACAGCATTGTCCAAATGCCTCTCAAACACTGAAAGGGTTGGGGCATCGACCATCCCTCTAGGAAGCCTGTTCCAGTGTTTGACCACCCTCTCAGTAGAGAAATGCTTCCTAATGTCCAGTCTAAACCTCTGCTAGAACAGCTTTGAGCCATTCCCACGCATCTTATCACTGGACCCCAGGAAGAAGAGATCAGTACCTCCCTCTCCACTTCTCCTCCTCAGGAAGCTGTAGAAAGCTATGAGGTCACCCCTCAGCCTCCTTTCTCCAAATTAGATAAACCCAGAGTACTTAGCTGCTTCTCACATGATGTGAAGCAGCCTACATAAGACGGTGGCTCAGCCAGCTCAGTAAACACAGGGTGATCAGGCCAAGCAGAAGTTCTAAATGTCATTTTGTATCTTTTTACTGAGATATTGAATCCTGAAAATTCAACTTTTGGAGTTTCATTTCTGAGAAATTTCCTTGAAATATACATAGATAAACAGGACTAGCACATCGAGCCTCCTGTGTTAAGAAACCAATGCCACAGTTGAAAATCAGTGCTGGATGTTTGGTTGCAAGGTTGCGTTGGACTGTGCTTCACTTTCTACCCCAGAACTCTATTCTGTGCAATGTTTTGCCTGATACATGTGCTGGTGCTCACACCAGTGTAGCTGAGCCCCAAGAGTCTTTGGCAGTGGTTAATATTTGACAGTAATTAAAATCTTGGTGTTCTGGTTTGTTGTGGTTTTTTTTGTTGTTTGCTTTGTGTTGTTTTTTGGGATTTTGTTTTTGTTTGGTTTTTTTTGTTTTGTTTAGTTTTTTTTTTAATCTGCAAGGTCATGGAAGTAGTGCACACAGACTAGGCTAAGAGTCTTGCTGTACAGAAGATGATGACAGGAACATGACTCTTCTTGTTTTTGAAGTCAGGAGCCTCTTTCATTTAATACTCTTCTTTAACCTTTTAGAAGCCACAGGGCCCCTCCCTCCTTTGCACAAGTGTTATCAATCATGGTGTCTGAGGACCTTGCTGCCAAGACAGCAGAATTTCACCTGCAAGATTTAAGGATTGGATTGCCAAGGCACACTACTGGCTCAGCATGCTCCTGCCTGGAAAAAGGCAGCATTATTTGCTTTACGCTTGTGACAAGGCTGATCCATGGCAGTGCAATCAGGGCCAACAGCAATATTCTGCACACCCAGCACACTGTCAGCAGCAAAGGGCAGATTGCCTGGGATGACCTCTCTGACTTTCAATTTAGCCTGGCACCTCTCCAGTTCAGCAATTCTACCTATAAAATAATTAAAGCAGCTCCCTTTGCTGCTGCTTCCAGATGCAGCAAGAAGCACTGCTGCATTAAAGACAGCAAGCAAGAGCTGGGCTAGGACATAGCCTTCCTTGGGGCTGTTTTTGACAGTGACATGTTCTGAAGTCTTGTCATCGCTGAGAACCTTTGCATTACCTCGCACCATCATGGAATAAGCAAAATATGCTCGCAACTTATCTGGACATCCAGATTTATGCAGCTGCCTCTGGGCTGCTCATGGCTGACAGTGCTGAAGTCTTTGGTGAGCTCCACAGAGGCCAGGTAGAGGCCTTTGCTTGCTTTGAAGGAGGACAAGGCTACAAACCAGATTGTTTCTGCAAAAGCCTTTTCAAAACCTTCACCAACAAATCCATTGATGTCATTTTGACAAGAATTTTTCTCAGCAATTAAGAAAATCAATATAACTTGGTGTCACTGCAGGAATGATTTTACCTTTTTCTTTGTAAAAGGTACCATGCATCTGTACTCTTGAGCTTCTTGAGGTACCATATTTCAATTAGGTAATTATGGCGAACTCCAGTTTTCTAATTAGTTGTTGACACTTTATTCATGTATAGCAGTAAGGGGTGAGCAGGGACTTTGCCTTGCCCTGTGACAGCTGCTCAACAGCTGTAGGAGTCTCTGCTCCCTGCTTTGGAATGGGGAGCCAAGAAGTGGATTTTAGCTCTAGCAGAGCTGAAGCATGAAGGATTTAAGAAACTGCTGAGGTCTTTGAGCCAACCATCTGCAATTTCACTTTGGTCAGCTAACAGGGTTAAAGTGGTTTTAGGCTACAGCCTTTGTGAAGAATCTTGTAATTTCTATGATCGGCAGCATTTTAAGCTTTTCCCTTCATCTTTCAGTGTGCCTTGCTCATGATTTCTGCCTGGTTTTGTAGTAAGCAGTTTTCTTGCCTGCCATTTTTTATTTTTACCTGAAGCTGGTGCAGCACCTGCGTGTCAGCAGCAATCTGATGGATGTGCCCCTTTCATTAACCCATCTACCGAGTGCTACTTGTCCTACTTCAAACATGCCTCTTCTGGTGGAATAGATTAAATACACCCTTGGACATGTTTACAGAGGGCTGCTTTTCTTTCTTTGTCTGTAGAGAAGCCTAAATGACTAGAAGAAAATAAGACTTACCCTGCTCTGCTAACTTCCTCCACCGCTAGGCTTGGTGCATCTCTCTCTACAGCTGATATACACACAATTCATTTCTGCTTTTAGTCATTGTACTATGTGCCAGGAGGTCACTCCTAGGTCTGTCCTGAGTGCCCCAAAGGCAAAAAGCTCAGGGGAATCTGTAACAGAATCAAGAGCAGCCTTGTATTTTCTGGCATTGTTGCAGCCTCTTGGGCAGCTGGTGGGGTCCTGGGGAGTGGACATTGCAGCAGATGCTGGAAGAGCCAATGGGCAGACCCCAGGCTGGCTGGGATCACGCTGAGGAGGTAAGATGAATAGAAAACCAGGCTTTTTCTTCAGTCAAGGGTGATCTGATGAGCACAGACCTCAAGGGAGATTCACTCCATCTACCTTCAGGCATCTAGAGAGCAAATTTCTGCACTTGAATTAGTCACTGTAGATGCCTTTCTAATGAATGCAGAGAACTAGCCACTTCTCAGGGAAGATTTATTGGTCTATTTTAGACCCTTTTCATATGAATTTCTGCCTCAAAGTAACTGTTTTCCTACCTGACTATACAGGGTGCCGAGGTGGGTCAAGATCAGTGAAGTACATGGTAAAGGAACAACTCACTTCCAAGGGGAGACAGGAAAGCACTTAAAAGATGGGTCTGTTAAGCATCTCATAACAAATAAGCAAAGCTCAGCATGCTGAGCCTGGAAATAATTAGGAGCTGGAAAAGAAAGTTGGGGGATGCATCCATCTTGCCTCCCATTTCCTTACTCTTCCTGAAGAGCCTCTGTAGGCTGTTGAGTTAGGAGAACTCTTGGCCTTTCCACTTTGTGACCAATTCTGATGTCTGCATCTCTCCTGTAGATATTTACATTTTATCAGATTAATTGCACCCACCTGGTGCCAAAAATGAGAACCAGAAGGGTTCTGTAGCTCTTCCCCTAGATGGTGAAGAAAGCTGTCAGTAGAAGCACACTACTGAGAGCCAGCATTTACTTTTTTAAATGTGAGACTAGTGCAGATGTAGTAGCACGTGTGTCTGAGTAGCGAGGCACACGTGGGCTACCTGTACATGCTGTGTCATGCAGTCTTTGGCTAACACGTATCTTTATATAACCTATTTCATTAATAACAGAAGGTAGAACTTAGTCCACCTGTGTGTCACATGGGTGCATTCACATGGAGCCTACAGAGCAGCTCTGGCTCCTTCTTCTGCAGGGCAGTGGGTTTGTCTGCAGCAAAGGGCCACTCTGCCCAGGGTGGGTGATGCTGCCAGTGGTGTGTGCCCTCTTCCAGTCCAAAGCCATTACCCTCCTTGTCCTATCGCTACAAGCCCTTTTAAATAGTCCCTCCCCAGCTTTCCTGTGGGCCCTCTTCAAGTTCTGGAAGGCCACTATGAAGTCTCCTTGAAGCCTTCTCTTCTCCAAGCTGAACAACCCCAACTCTCAGCCTGTCTCCACAGGAGAGGTGTTCCAGCCCCCTGATCATCTTGGTGGCCCTTCTCTGGATGCACTTCAGGAGGTCCATGTCTTTCCCGTGCTGGGGGCTCCAGAACTGGACACAGTACTCCAGGTGGGGTCTCACAAGAGGAGTCTTGTAAAGAAGGACTAGTAAATAAAAAAAATCTAGAGAAGATGTTCAAGGAGAAGCAATTTAGCTCTGCATATTTGAGAGCAGTTTTAGTCCCTGCCCTACAGAGAGGAAATTAAAACACAAAGAGACACCAGCCATTCCATAGTAACAGCAGCTTTTCCGAGATTTAGCGAAGTCGAACTTGCTATTACGTACAGTCTGTGAAAAGTCTTTCCAAGGCTATAGGAACCCTTAATGGATTTTTTTTGTTGGTTCTCTGGATCCCTGCAGGTTGGCTGCCCCGTCCTGCCCGGGGTGGGTGGTGCCGTGGCGGTGTGCGGAGCGCCCGGAGCCGGGACGTCCGGGGCAGCGGGCGGGGCCGGCAGCGGGACGCGGCCATGGGGAAGGTGCTGGTGCTGGCTGTGCTCGGGATCGCGGCAGCCCTGGCGGCGGAGCGGCTGCTGGCGCTGCGGTGAGGCAGCTGCGGGACGTGCGGGCACCGCGGGGCG